CCAACACTTTGGGAAGCCGAGGCAGGTGGATCACAAGGTCAGGAGTTGAAGACCAGCCTAGCCAAGATGGTGAAACCTATCTCTACTAAAAACACAAAAATTAGCCCGGGCGCGGTGGCTCACACCTATATTCCCAGCACTTTGGGAGGCCAAGGTGGGTGGATCACCTGAGGTCAGGAGTTGGAAACCAGCCTGGCCAACATAGTGAAACCCTGTCTCTACTAAAAATACAAAAAAAAAAATTAGCCGGGCATGGTGGCGGGTGCCTGTAATCCCATCTACTTAGACTGAGGCAGGAGAATCGCTTGAACCTGGGAGGCAGAGGTTGCAGTGAACCAAGATCGCGCCACTGCACTCCAGCCTGGGCAACAAGAGCAAAATTCCGTCTCAAAAAAAAAAAAAAACAAACCCTGAATCTGGGTAGCATCTGAACCCCTCGGCCTGAACCAGGTCCTACTTAGAAAGGTCAATGATACAAACCGAATCTAAATTATCCTCCCTCTACATCTGTTTCTGTCTCTTGTTTTTCCACCTGGGCTTCCTGATAAATGTGCATCCCTTTCTGAGAGGGCACATCGAGAAGGGCCTTGGCCTCTGGTGACTACTTCCCCTTGTTCGTTGCTGTCTGCTCCTCCTCATGCCTGGGGTTTAATGGCCAAGTGTGACCCAGCTGTTTCTAGCTTTGGTTCTCTCAGGAAGGGCAGAGAAAGGTCATGTTTATTTTGGTCTCCCGACCTGCCGTGAAGGTCTTTATTTAAGTGACTTGTAACAACATGAAGAATGATTGCATGTACAGCTGTTTCCTATATTATTATTATTATTTTAGTTTAGTTTTGTTGTTGTTTTGGGTTTTTTTTTTGAGATGGAGTCTGACTCTGTTACCCAGGCTGGAGTTTAGTGGTGTGATCTCGGCTCACTGCAACCTTTGTTTCCTGGGTTCAAGCAATTCTCCTGCCTCAGCCTCCTGAGTAGTTGGGACCACAGGCGCGTGCCACTACAGCCAGCTAATTTTTTGTGTCTTTAGTAGAGCTGGGGGGTCACCATGCTAGCCAAGATGGTCTCAATCTTCAACCTCGTGATCTGCCCGCCTTGGCCTCCCAAAGTGCTGGGATTACAGGTGTGAGCCACCACTCCCAGCCTATTATTTTAAATTGTTTAGGTCGGGCGCAGAGGCTCATGCCTGTAATCCCAGCACTTTGGGAGGGCAAGGTGGGTGGATCACTTGAGTCTGGCAGTTTGAGACCAGCCTGGGCAACATGGTGAAACCTCGTCTCTCCAAAAAATACAAAAATTATCTGGGCATGGTGGTGCGCGCCTATAGCCCCAGCTACTCAGGAAACAGAGGTGGGAGGATCACTTGAGCACAGGAGGTTGAGACTGCAGTGAGGCATGATCGTGCTACTGCACTCCAGCGGTGGCAGAGTGAGACCCTGTCTCAGGAAAAAAAAAAAAAAAAAAAAAAAAATTATTTTAATGGGCAGCCCCCAGAACTGGAAGAGGTTCAGAGGATTCCCTATTTCCTACATTAGACACATTAAAGGAGAGGGCATGAAGTTACAATTATTTTTTTAAATATTATCAAAATAATACATAAGCACAGTTTAAAATGTTTGCTTATGGTTGACTAGGTAAATCAAAGTTACTCTACTCCATCTGGGCATGGTGGCTCACTCCTGTAATCCTGGCACTTTGGGAGGCCAAGGTGGGAGGATTGCTTGAGTCTAGGAGTTGGAGACCAGCCTGGGCAACATAGGGAGATCCCTGTCTCTATAAAAAAAATTTTTTAAATCTTCCTTCTAAGTGAAGTGATGAAAAAAAGAAAGCTGGCCGGATGCAGTGGCTCACGCCTATAATCCCAACACTTTGGGAGGCCAAAGCGGGTGGATCACAAGGTCAGGAGTTTGAGACCAGCCTGGCTAATATAGTGAAACTCCATCTCTACCGAAAAAAGAAAAATCAGCTGGGCGTGGTGGTGCGTGCTAGTGGTCCTAGCTGCTCAGGATCTGAGGCTGGAGAATCGCTTAAAACCGGGAGGCTGAGGTTGCAGTGAGCTGAGATCACGTTACTGCATTCCAGCCTGGACGACAGAGCGAGACTCCATCTCAAAACAATAATAATAAAAAATAAAATAATAAAAGGCCAGGCACGGTGGCTCACATCTGTAATCCCCCAGCACTTCTGGAGGCCGAGGCAGGTGAATCACCGGAGGTCAGGAGTTCGAGACCAGCCTGATCAACAAGGTGAAACCCCATCTCTACTAAAAATACAAAAATTAACCGGGCATGGTGGTGGCACCTCTAGTCCCAGCTGCTCAGGAGGCTGAGACAGGAGAATTACTTGAAGCCGGGAGGTGGAACTTGCAGTGAGCCAAGATTGTGCCACTGCACTCCAGCCTGGGCAACAGAGCAAGACTCCGTCTCAAAAAAAAAAAAAAAAAAATCCAGAAAGTAAAAATAAAAATAAAATAAAATAAATTAGCTGAGTGTGGTGGTGCATGCCTATAATCCCAGCTACTTGAGAGGCTGAGGCAGGAGGATCACTTGAGCCCAAGAGTTCAAAGCTGCAATGAACTATGATTGTGGCACTGTACTCCAGCCTGGGGGACAAAGTGAGACTCTGCCTCAAAAATAAATAGATAAATAAGTAAAAATAAAAAGTAAGAGATGAGCTACTCAGAAGGAATACGGAATAGGGTCTACCTCCTGCCACCGGATTCACCACTGTTTTCGTCCAGTGCTGAGCCCAACCACCTGGGTCACCTCGGGCTCCTGCCAACAGTCTTTCCTTGAACAACTGGTGGCTGAAATGAAGGATCCCCCCACCAACCACCAGCATTGGGAGACTATGCCACCAGACCCCACTGCAGAGAAGGACACTCATGTCTGGTTCTATGTCCAAAACATTTATTTTCAGGAAATATTTGTGCCTGCACAACAGGGGAAATTTGTGGGGTGTCTGTGGCTTGCTACAGTGACATCTGGCAGGACTAACTGGGTCATCAGAGCCACAGAATAAGGACCGGGAAGGTGACCACAACTGTGAAGACTGGGGCCATGTTGGGGGAGGACTCTGAGAGTGACAACTTGGCTGATAACTTGGGTGTCCAGTGTGTAGGAATCTCAGTGAGTTTCTGGTCTGAAGTCAGACTCTGTCGCTGACGCAGACGTGAGAGGTCAGAGCGGCAGGAACTGCTCAGCTGCTCATCCGGGAACTTGTCTTCCAACGGGCTTCGCCATTCGTTTTCTTCCTGTACCTAGAGGTGGCAGTTGGTGCTCAGCTTCCACAGCTCTCCTCGACACACCTGCTCAGACCCCTCGGCTACTCTCTTGCCCAGCCCAGAGTACCTTTTCCACTCGACTGAAGACCCGCAGCAGGTTTCCGCGAAGGACACCCTGAAGCTCTTCCTCACTCCAGCCACGACTCAGCAACTCCTCTATCAGGACCGGGTACGTGGACACGTCCTCCAGCCCCTGAGGGAATCTATGTGGCCACCAGCCAGTGGGTTTCAGACCTGATTCCCTGATCCTGACTGAGAACCACAGTCCAGGGTCCATGAAACCCCAGCCCTAGTCAGGTATGGGAAGTGGAGACTTGGAGAGAGTAGGTAATCCTTCTCTGCTCTTCATCCTTCAGAAGGAGGCCTCAAAACCTCCTTGAATATTTATCAAAACTCATTGAATCATACTATTAAGATCTATGCCTTTTACTGAATGCAAATGATCCCCCCTACCAACCAGAGTTAAAAAGAAGAAAACGGCCAGGTGTGATGACTCACACCTGTAATCCCAGCACTTTGGGAGGACAAAGTGGGTGGATCATTTGAGGTCAGGAGTTCGAGACCAGCCTGGCCAACATGGTGAAACCCAGTCTCTACTAAAAATACAAAAAAGAGGCCAGGCGTGGTGACTCACGCCTGTTATCGCAGCACTTTGGGAGGCCGAGGCAGGAGGATCACGAGGTCAGGAGATCGAGACCATCCTGGCTAACATGGTGAAACCCCGTCTGTACTAAAAATACACAAAAATTAGCTGGGCGTGGTGGCGGGCGCCTGTAGTCCCAGCTACTCGGGAGGCCAAGGCAGGAGAATGGCTGAACCCGGGAGGCGGAGCTTACAGTGAGCCCAGATCATGCTACTGCACTCCAGCCTGGGCAACAGAGTGAGACTCTGTCTCCAAAGAAAGAAAGAAAGAAAATTAGCTGGGCATTGTGGTGCATGCCTATAATCCCAACTACTTGGGAAGCTGAGGCAGGAGATTCACTTGAACCCAGGAAGCAGTGGTTGCAGTGAGCTGAGACTACGCCACTGCACTCCAGGCTGGACAACAGAGTAAGACTACATCTCAAAAAAAAAAAAAAAAAAAAAAAAAAAAAAAAAAGGAGCTTGGGAGAAAGCAGGCGACGGGCAGAGGCCACAATGGTCCCTGGACTAGACGCACTCCAGCCTGGGCCTTGCGAATGGGATTAAAAGTCACGTGCCGACTTCCAGCATCAAGAGCCACGCATAAGCCAGCACGCGGCTTTTCCGCCAACAGGAGAGCGCCCCATGGCCGGAACTGCCGCGTGCAGCTACGAGGACTGCCCTCGCCCTTTTCCTAATGTTATTCAGACCCCCTAAGACAAAGGAAGAAAGCACACACAGAGCCGGCCAGGCTGGAAACCAGTAGGGGCCAGGGATCTCCTTTGATCTCACCTCCCACCCAGGCCCACGGGAATGTTAGTCGGCCCAGCCCAGCCCTAGGGCAGGTAAAAATACCTAAGCTGGAGGCCTGCTGTGGAAGAGTTAATTGATCTTTTTGTGTGTTTTGACTGACAGTAGAAAAAGATTCAATTAGTGATATTTCATTTTATCATGGTTTTGATGCAGAGTTTTGGGGCCTTGCTGCCCAGCCTGAGTGGCAAAATGGTGCAGTCTCGGCTCACTGCAAACCTCCACCTCAGTGGCTCCGGCCATTCTCCTTCCTTAGGCCCCCCCAAGTAGAGTGTGGATACTGATGGTGCGCCCGCCACCATGCCTGGCTAATTTTTGTATTTTCAGTAGAGATGGGTTTCACCATGTTGGCTGTGGCTGCTGAGCTGCTGACCTCAAGTGATTTGCCTGCCTCGATCTCCCAAAGTGCTGGGATTACAGGTGGCATGAGCCACTGTGTGCCTCCAGCTCCAAATGAAATGCAGAACAATTTTTATGGGGGATCAAATATTAGCTTTTTTCCTTGAGTTGCAGTGGGGATTTATGTCAGCTGCAGCTCCTTGAACTCCTGAGCTCAAGAGATCTGCCCACCTAGGTTCTCCTCCTGTAAAAGGCAAGCACTGGGATTATAGGCATGAGCCACCACATCTCAGCCTTAGTTTTTTAGAGATAGGGGTCTTTCTGTGCTTTCCCCAACCAGGCTGGTCTCCCAAACCTCTGGCCTCAAGTGATCCTCCCCACCTGCCTCCTCAGTGTTCCAGTTGCAGTGTGCATGGGCCAATGGACCTGTTTTAGCATTTAGTGTTGAATCCTTTTTTCATATATGTTAATATACACACACAAAAAAAGACCCAGAAAGAGTCTACACATCAAAAAATGTTAGTTAATAGTGGCCCTCCTCAGCAAGAGAGATCTACTCCAACACCCCCTGATCACAGACCCCATTTCCTTCTGGGTATTATGGTGATAAAATGGGCTAAGGGAATTCATGGTGCTGGTGAGGGTTAATCAGGGTCATAGGGGGTTATGGAAGCACCCAGCAGCAGCTGAACCTTGCTTGAAGATGGCGTCTGGATCAGGCAGAGCGGTGGATCCTGTGTTGGGATAACAGCCCCAGCAGAGAGATTCAGTTTTGGGCATTACAACAACTGTTGTGGAGGAGGCAGGTGGATCCTAAGGCATGACAGGGACAAAAGATCAGACTGTGTGCTCTTGGTCCTGGAAAGGAGGAGGGGGCTTGCTCTGACACATTATTTCCCCACCTGGGGTGAAATCCTCCTTCAAGACAACACAAGGCAGCTTCAGCAGCCCCCTCTCAGCATTTCCCTGTTGAGAAAACCCCAGGGTGCAGGGGGAAATGATTTCAAAATTGCATCTCGCCGGGCGCGGTGGCTCATGCCTGTAAATCCAGCACTCTCTAGGAAGCTGAGGTGGGTAAGATTGCTTGAGTTCAGGAGTTTGAGACCAGCCTGGCCAACACAGTGAAACCCCATCTGCTACTAAAAAATGTAGGTAAAAATTAGCTGTGCATGGTGGCACCTGCCTGTAATCCTAGCTACCTGCCCAAGAGGCTGAGGCAGGAGAATCACTTGGGGCGGAGGTTGCGCAGTGAGCCGAGATTGCAACCAATGCACCACTGCACTCCAGCCTGGGCAACAGAGCTTGTGGACTCCGTCTCTAAAACAACAACAAAACAAATCATCTTCTGGGCCAGTGCAGAGCTCAAGTCTGCAATCCTAGCACTTGGGGAAGCCACAGGTAGATTGCTTGAAACCTGAGTTTGAGACCACCTAGGCAACATGGTAAATGCCGTCTTTTACTAAAAATACAAAAATACTAGCCAGACATGGTGGTGCGCACTTTGAGGTCCCAGCTACTCCAGAGGCTGAGGTAGGAGAGACCGCCCTGAGGCCAGGAGGCTGTGCAGTGGAGTGAGCGAGATCCCAGCCCCGCACTCCATCCTGGGCAATGGGAGTGAGACCCTGTATCAAAAAAAAGGCTGGGCATTGGCTCATACACCTATATTCCCAGCACCTTTGGGGAGCCAAGGTGGGTGGATCACCTGAGGTCAGGAGTTGGAAACCAGCCTGGGCCAACATAGTGAAAAACCTTGTCTCATTAAACAGGCAAAAAAAATTAGTCGGGCATGGTGGCGGGTGCCTGTGTAATCCCATCTACTTAGACTGGAGGCAGGAGAATCGCTGGGAACCTGTGGAGGCAGAGGTTGCAGTGAACCAAGATCACTGCACTCCAGCCTGGGCGTAAAGCAAAGCAGAGCGCTTACAACAAGAGCAAAACTCCGTCTCAAAAAAAAACAAACCCTGAATCTGGGTATGGTCTTGAACCCTCGGCCTGAACCAGGTCCTACTTAGAAAGGTCAATGATACAAACCCCACTCCAAATTAGTCCTCCTCCCCACATCTGTTTGCCCTGTTTTTCCACCTGCCTGATAAAAATGCATCCCTTTCTGAGAGGGCACATCGAGAAGGGCCTTGGCCTCTGGGTGACTACCCTTTGTTCGCGGCTGTCTACCTCCTCATGCCTGGGGTTTACTGTGGCCAAGTGTGACCTGCAGCTGTGTTTCTAGCTTCTTGGCCCCTCTAGGAAGGGCAGAGAAAGGTCATGTTTATTTTGGTCTCCGAATTCGCCGTGAAGGCTCCTTATCATGACTTGTAACAACATGGAAGAATGATTGTAATGTACAGCTGTTTCCTATTATTATTAATATATTATTTTTTAGCTTCTAGTTTTGTTGTTGTTTTGGGTTTTTTGAGATGGAGTCTGACTCTGCTACCCAGGCTGGAGTTTAGTGGTGTGTGATCTCCCGGCTCACTGCACCTGAGCCTCTGGGTTTGCCATTCTCCTGCTCAGCCTCCTGAGAAGCGATCATTGCGCTACAGCCAGCTAATTTTTGTGTCTTTAGTAGAGTTAAAATACCATGCTATTGCATGGCCATCTCACCTTCAACTCCGGGTGATCTGCCTGCTTACTCAGTGCTGGGATTACAGTGTGAGCCACCACTCCCAGCCTATTATTTTAAAATTGTTTAGGTCGGGCGCAGAGGCTCACCTGCACTCCAGCACTTTGGGAGGCAAGGGGGTGATCACTTGAGTCTGGCAGCTTGAGACCAGCTCTGGGGGCGGCCATGGGTGAAACCTCGTCTCCAAATACAAAAATTATCTGGGCATGGTGTGGAAAGTGCGCTAGCCCCACAACACAGGAAAGAAGAGAGGTGGAGGATCACTGAGCATGGTGAGGTTGAGAGACTGCAGTGTAGGCATGATCGTGCACTGCACCCAGCGGTGGCAGAAAGAGCCCTGTCTCTGCAAATTATTTTATCAGCAGCCCCAGAACTTGAAGTTCAGAGGATTCCCTAGCTTCCACACACACACATTAAAGGAGAGGCGTGGCATGAAGTTACAATTATTTTTAAATATATTATCAAAATAACACGCTAGCTTAAATGTTTGCTTAAGTGGTTGACTAGGTAAATCAAAGTTACTCTCATTCCACCTCAGCATGGTGCTCACTCCTGTAATCCCAGCACTTTGGGGAGGCCAAGGGGAGAGGTGATTTGCTTGAGTCTGTGAGTTGGGAGACCAGCCCAAGGCAACATAGGGATTTCCTGTTCTTAAATCTTCCTTCATGAAGTGATGAAAAAAAGAGCTGGTCGGATGCAGTGGCCACGCCATAACCCAACACTTTGGAGGCCAAAGCCGGTGGACTGCTGTCAGGGAGTTTGAGAAAGGAGGACCAGCCTGGCTATTGTTGCTAGCAGGAAACTCCATCCCCAACAAAAGAAAATCAGCTGGCGCGGTGGTAAGCGTGGTCTCAGCTGCTCAGATCTGAGGTTGAGAATTCATGGTAAAACCGGGAGGTTGCGTTGCAGCGAGCGAGAAGACCACGCTAGCTGTATTCAGCCTGGACGACAGAGCGAAGAGACCTTAATCCTGGGCAAACACACAATAATAAAAATAAAAATAATAAAAACAGGCACGGTGGTTCACATCTGTAATCCCCCAGCAGAATTCTGAGGCCGAGGCAGGTGAATCACCGGTCAGGAGTTCGCTGGCAGACCAGCCTGGGATCAACAACAAGTGTGAAACCTGATCTCTACTAAAAATACAAAATTAACCGGTGCATGGTGCAGGGTACCTCTACCCAGCTGCTCAGGAGGCTGAGACAGTGTAGAGAATTACTTTGAAGCCGGGAGGTGGAACTTGCAGTGCAGGAGCCAAGATTGTGCCACTGCACTCCGCCTGGGCAATGTAGAGCAAGACCCGCCCCAAAAAAAAAACTAAAAGTAAAAATAAAAAATAAAAATAAATAAATTAGCTGAGTGTGTGGTGCATGCCTATAATCCCAGCTACTGAGGCTGAGGAGGAGGATCACCACTTGAGCCTCCACAAGAGTTCAAAGCTGTAAATGAACTATGATTTGTGGCACTGTACTCCAGCCTGGGGGACAAAGTGAGACTCTGCCTCAAAATAAATAGATAAAATAAGTAAAATAAAAGTGGCAAGAGAGATGATAGAGCTGCCACTCAGAAGGAACATTGGAATAGGTCTACCTCCTGCCACCGGATTCACCACTGTTTTCGCCCAGTGCTGAGCCCAAACCACCTGGGTCACTCGGGGTGGCTCTGCCAACAGTCTTTCCTTTCTTTTGAACAACTGGTGGCTTAGTGTCAAGGCATGATCCCCCCACCAACCACCAGCATTGGGAGACGCTATGCCACCGCCAGGACCCCCGATGCGACTGCAAGAGAAGGACACTCATGTCTGGTTCTATGTCCAAAACATTTATTTTCAGGAAATATTTGTGCCTGCACACAGGGAAATTTGTGGGGTGGCTTGTGGAGTTTGCTACAGTGACATATCGTGGCAGACTAACTGGGTCACTGGGAGCCACAGAATAAGACCGGGGAAGGTGACCACAACTGTGGAAGACTGGGGCCATGTTGGGGAGACCTCCCTGAGAGTGACAACTTGGCTGATAACTTGGGTGTCCAGTGTAGAATCTCAGCAGAGTTTCTAGTTCGAGTCAGACTCTGTTTCTGCCGACTTTCCAGACGTGAGAGGCTTCAGAGCTGCAGTGTGGGAAACTGCTCAGCTGCTCATCCTGGGAACTTGTTCTCTCCAACCGGCTTCTACTTATCTGCTTTTCTTCCTGTGTGACCGAGGTGGCAGTGTTGGTGCCTGGGCAGCTTTTCTCCACAGCTCTCTCGACACACCTGCTCAGACCCTCGGCCACTCTGCCCAGCCCAGGTACCTTTTCCACCACTGAAGACCCGCAGCAAAGGCTTCCATACACAACCCTGAAGCTCTTCCTCACCCAGCCACCCACTCAGCAAACTCCCAGACCAGACCAGGCAGCTGGACACGTCCTCCAGCCTAGAGGTGAATCTCCAGGCCACCAGCCAGTGAGCCAGTATCTGATTCCTGATCCTGACTGGGAGGAACCACAGTCCAGGTTCATGAAACCCCAGCCCGGTCAGGTATGGGAAGTGGAGACTTGAGTAGGAGAGAAAAAATCCCTTCTGCTCTTCATCTCTGTGAAGGAGGCCTCAAACCTCCTGAATATTTATCGCAACTCATTGAATCATAACATAAGATCTATGCCTCTTTACTTGAATGCAAAATGATCCCCCACCAACCAGAGGCAAAAGAAGAAAACGGCCAGGTGTGATGACTCAGCGCCACCTGTAATCCCAGCACTTTGGGAGGACAAAGGGTGATCATTTGAGGTCAGGAGCTCAGACCAGCCTGGCCAACATGAAACCCATGTAGTCTCTACTAAAAAAATACAAAAGAGGCTGGTGGCGTGTGACTCACGCCTGTTATCGCAGCACTTTTGAGCTTCTGGCAGAGGGATCACGAGGTCAGGAGATCGAGACCTCATCCTGGTTGAATATGAAACTCCCGGCCTGTACTAAAATACACAAAAATTAGCTAAGGCAGGCGCGCCTGGGGAGTCCCAGCTACTCGGGAGCCAAGGCAGGCAGAATGGCTGAACGGAGTGAGCCTACAGAGCTTGGGAGATCATGCTACTGCACTCCAGCCTGGGCCAGAGAGACTCTGTCTCCAAAAAGAAAGAAGAAAGAAAGAAAATTAGCTGGCATTGTGGTGCATGCCTGGCAATCCCAACTCGCTTCTAAAGCTGAGTGTGAGATTCACTGGAACCCAGGAAGCAGTGGTTGCAGTGAGCCATAATTACGCCACTGCACTCTGGGTAGGCTGACAACAGAGTAAGATCACATCTCAACAATAGCGGAAGGCACAGTTGTGCAGGCCCAGTGGTACCCAGCCTCAACCCAGTACTAAAAAAAAAAAAAAAAAAAAAAAAAAAGAAGAAGAAGAAGAAGAAAAGGCCCAGTGAGATGTCTCAGGCCTGTAATCCCAGCATTTTAGGAGGCCAAGGCAGGAGGACCATTTGAGTCCAGGAGTTCAAGACCAGCCTGGGCAACATAGTGAGAACCCATCTCTGCAAAAAATAAAATTATCTGGGCATGATGGCACATGCCTGTAGCCACGGCTACTTGCAGGCTGAGATGGCAGGATCACTTGAGCCCAGAAAGTCAAGGCTGCAGTGAGCCAAGATTGCGCCACTGCACCCCAGCCTGGCCAACGGAGCAATACCCTGAGAAGAAAAGAAGAAGAATAAAGAGAAGAAGAAAAGGAAGAAAGAAGAAAGAGAAGAAGAAAGAAGGAGGAGGAGGAGATGAAGAAGAAAAAGGAGGAGGAGGAGGAAGAGAAGGAGAAGGAGAAGGAAAAGGAGGAGAGGAAGATCTTCCTCAGAAAACAGTGGTTGCAAACACAGCCAACAGGCACAGGGCAGAGAAGATGGTCAGCACACACCAGACCTTGCTGACGGTCTGTTCAGAGAGAGTGGGTCTACTGGGGCTGGGGGATGAGCTCTGTCTGGTAGTTTAGCCAAGTATAACGTCCAAAGTGGGGTCACTGGGATGAAGACAAACAGGAGAACCCAAAGAACTGATCCTGGGAGTAGGGAGATGCCAGGTGGTCAAGGCCTAAAGGACATGATGGCTATGGTGACCGTGAAGGCCCCACTGCTGTACAGCTAGCTCCAGACAAGCCACAGGGAAGCACTCACTTGCCGGCCCCATCATAATCTCCGCCAATCCCAATGAACTTGGATCCGATGACTGCCTTGATGTGGTCGAAGTGATCTGGGGAGGGGGCAGGTGGAGAGTCAGCTGTGTAGGGCTTCCAGGGCAGGGGTGCCACTGGGGCTGGATGGCAGTGAGTCTTTTTGCAGCCTGTAGGCCAGGCAGGCTAATTCCTTCATGGCCTGCCACATAGCTTGGCAACCTGAGAACCCTGAGGTTTGACCTGAATGGATTCAGCTGGTTCTGGCCTAGACTTCAGGTTTGGAGTGGATCCACAGAGCCACCTGTCTGGGCCATTTCCCACCTAGGATTAAACCTGCCTCTAGTCTCTTTAGAATCTGGTAGGAACTCTTTTCTTTTCCTTTTTTATTTTTTCTGAGACAGTGTCTCGCTCTGTGGCCCAGGTTGGAGTGCGGTGGCACAATCTCGGCTCACTGCAAGCTCCGCCTCCTGGGTTCACGCCATTCTCCTGCCTCAGCCTCCTGAGTAGCTGGGACTACAGGCACCTGCCACCACGCCTGGCTAATTTTTTGTATTTTTAGTAGAGACAGGGTTTCACCATGTTAGCCAGGATGATCTCGATCTCCTGACCTCATGATCCGCCCGTCTCGGCCTCCCAAAGTGCTGGGATTACAGGCGTGAGCCACCACGCCTGGCCGGTAGGAACTCTTTTCTATGGTTGTGGGAGATGACAGAGAGACAAAGAGTACAATCGACAAAGACCCCAGAGACCTAAGGGGCCTTCCAGTCTCTTGGCCAGAGGCTGAGGCAGGGTGCTTTTGTGACCCCCTGCAGAGGCGCAGACACTTAGCACTCAGGTTCTATGTGTAGCTTCCTCCCTTATACCCATTAGGACTGCAGCATTGACTCTGTGGCTGCAGCTCCACATGACCAAGGTGCTGTGTACTGTCTATCATTGCATTTTTTTCAGTGAAACCACTGGGACAGTAATGAGGCCCTCCCAAGTCTTCAGGTGCAAATCAGAACTGTTCAGAGAGCCCAGGAGTAGGGGTTACCTGCCACAGTGGACACATTGGCTGACGGGTTGCACTGTATTACTCCCATGGACAGAGACACCATCACGATGCCACCGTTCTTCTTCTGCAGGGGCGGGCAAGTGGACACTCAGCCTGGCCCCTCAGCAAACTGCATTCCCACCCTGCCACCCTCTGGATCCCTGGAGGGGGTGTTCAGTCCTGGCTTCAGGAGTCAGAGGAAATTTTACCTCTCTGGTTTTGTGTGAATGGAGGAGTCTAGGCCCTGGTCTGGCACAGGTGTCTTGGCACTTACTTTGAGGAGTAGAGGAATATACATACTTATCATCTAGAACCCCCCACTCCTGGATGTGGACTGTGGGGTTGTGGAGCAAAAGGTGTTCAGCCTGAAGTTAGAGGAAGTGGAGGGAGCAGGGCCTCAGGTTTGAGGGCTCCTGTTTTTTGTTTTTGTCTTTGTTTTCCGTGGCAGGGTCCCACTCTGTCACCCAGGCTGGAGTGCTGTGGTGTGATCTTGGCTCACTACAACCTCCGCCTCCCAGGTTCCAGAGATTCTCCTGCCTCAGCCTCCCAAGTAGCCGGGATTACAGGAATATGCCACCACACCTGTCTAATTTTTGTATTTTTAGTAGAGATGGCGTTTCCCCATGTTGGCCAGGCTGGTCTTGAACTCCTGATCTGAAGTGATCCACCCACCTCTGCCTCCCAAAGTGCTGGGATTACAGGTGTGAGCCACTGTGCCTGGCCAAAGGGCTCCTGGTTTGAACCTCTTGCTTGAGGTTCCTGTGCTGGGCAGTTTCTCACCAGAAGCTGCAGGATGTCATCAGGAACATTCCGAGCACTGTTGCATACACCCCGGGCAGCCGAGTGGGAGAAGATCACAGGTGCCTGTGATACTTCCAGGGCCCGCCGTGCCACAGCATCTGAGACGTGGGACAAGTCTACCATCATGCCCAGGCGGTTCATTTCTGCCACCACCTTCTGCAGGGACATGTTGGGAGAAGGGTATCAGGGATGCCCATGTGTATACATTTATCTGTAAGAAACAGCTGGGGTGTGCACATCTGTGTGGGGTGGAGTTGTGAACCAGGGTCCTCACCTCACCAAAGCCAGTCAGCCCGCTGATGTTGTTGTAGAAGGAGTGGACGCCCTTAGCTGAGCTCTCTGCCCTGCAGGTGGCCAGGAATCAGTCTAACTGGTAGCTGTTCCGTGGCCTCAAGAGCCTAGAGGCCCTACCCACCCTCCATCCCTGCAACCCCCTGAAACAAAAACAGGGATCCAAAATGGGCCATGCAGATGGGCCATGCCTGGCAGCAGGAGTGCCCTGCTGGGTCCAGTATTTTTTTTTTTTTTTCCTCTTTTCTTTTTTTCTTTTTTGAGATAGAGTCTCGCTCTGTCTCCCGGGCAGGAGTGCAGTGGTGTGATCTTGGCTCACTGCAACTTGTACCTCCTGGGTTCAAGAGATTCTCGTGCCTCAGCCTCCCGAGTATCTGGGATTACAGGCATGCACCACCACGCATGGCTAATTTTTGTATTTTCCGTCAAGATAGGGTTTCACCATCTTGGCCAGGCTAGTCTCGAACTCCTGGCCTTTAGTCATCTGTCCGCCTCAGCCTCCCAAAGTGTTGCGATTACAGGTGTGAGCCATCGCATCTGGCCAGGGGTCCAGTCATATTCTGAAAACCAGAATCCCAGCTTCCCTCCCCACTCGAGTCAGTGCCAGACCCCATGGGTAAAGCTTGTTCTGGGACCACAGTGACCTCAGGCACATCTCTGCCCCTGCCGCGGCGGTCCCACACCATCTGTGCTAGGCTCACCAGGGCGTGTTGCAGGTGTGGGTGAGCGTCAGGTAGCGCACTCCCAGCATGTAGAAAGTACGTAAGATGGAGAGGCTATTGTCCAGCGAGTGGCCACCCTCCACACCGATGAGGCAGGCCAATTTCTGGGTGTCATTCAGAGCTGGGGGCAGGTAGGTCAGGTGATTACTCTCAAGGTCTGGAGTAGCTCAATCAAGTTCCTAACACTTCCCATCAACTCACCTACCTTTAGCCGAGGTCACAAGCTTCAGCTCAGAATAGGAGGCACACATGCGGCGAATGAGGTCAATCTGCTCTAGGGTGAGGCGCAGGGCATCCCGGTCCTGGGTCTGGCATGGAACGTAGGCTGACCAGAACTGGGGGGAAAGCCAGGGGTTGCTCACAGCCTCCACAGCTGACACAGCACCCAGTGGGCCAGGAGGTCACATGTAATGCACTGCTTCTTCCACGGGGTCTTCCTGGCCACCAAGCTGGTTCATTGTAGCCTCTGCAGCCCCCAGCATCCATATCATGACACTTTTTGGGTCACTATGGTAACTGAGTTCTCATGTGACTAACTTGTGATCTCTGGGGTCCCCACTCTCTCCAACATCCCCCAGCAGCCATGCTGTGGCACCTCATGTATCCCTGTGGTACCTGGGCGCCCACGAGGCCATCTCTAAGCCTGTCCAGGCTGGTCTGGCCGTAGCTGAAATTGCGCAGATTAACATCCGGTAGCCCTTTCTGGTAAACCTGCCTCAGGACCAGGGGCAGGTCGTTGTGGCTGGAGGGAGGTCAAGGCAGGGTCAGGTGAAGAACAGACAGATGGGCCTCTTAGCCCTCCAGTTCAGGAAGGACACATCTGGGGATCCCCATCCCACATTGTCACACGACTATACTGAGACCCCCTGAGGCCCGGGCTAGGAGTGCCCACCCAAGAGGGGGTGACAGAGGGGAAAGAGTATCCATGCATGACGGGAGAGGGCATCCAGGTGAGATGTGAGGGAGACACCTCCACAGCCCTGCATACTCTGGGACCCTCCCTTGCCCAGGAGTGCGCTCAGTCCCATAGCCCCCTTGCAGCAATTACGCACCCGTCCACTAGCGGGAAGTCCCGCATCAGGGCCCGTGCCTGCTCTCGCAGGCCCTGGGTGCTGGGACTACCGAGTGTGGTCGAGGGAGCGTGGGTGCCTGGCATGGTGTGGGCTCTGGGGGCGCCCAGCGTGGTGAGGGCTCTGGGGGCGCCCGGCGTGGTGTAGACGCAGGTTACAGGCTGGAGCAGCAGGAGCAGGAGCAGGAGCAGGAGAAGGAGCAGCGGACTCAGCAGAGGCCACCGACCAAACGTGCCGGGACCCTCAAGGCCCGCGGGCTGCATGTTGTGCAGGGCCGGGCAGGCAGGCAGGGGTGGCGGTCAGAGAGCCTGAGAGGGGCGGGCGAGGGGCAGAGCGCGATGATGGAGTCCTGACCCTCGATTCAGGCCACTCGGCGGAGTGGCCTCACGAGGAGGGTAACGAAGTCACAGGGCCCCGTGAAGGATGTGCGGGGAGCGGCGGCACCACACAATGTGGCCACCAGGGGGCGCCCAGCCCTCCCGCCGTCATCCCCTAGGGCTGGCTGGGCGGATTCCTGTCCTGGGCACCCACTCGCGGCCTGTCTCAGGCCCCTCCACTCTCCCTGTTACCCCTCCCACTGTCCCCAGGGGTCCGACCCAGGTGGCTCCTCTGCTACCCCTAGGCCCCCTCTCTAAGAGAGAGGGCCTGGGGTGCTTTTCCCAAACAGTGGCCCTCTGCCCTGCCCTGGGAGATCTGCGGACCACATCATGTCCCCAGCCACCTGCAACGTGTCCCGGCCACACCCAGGGCCACATGTGTCCCTGTGACCACAGTGCTCTGGGCTCTGGATTTCCTGGTGCTGGGTTGTGTGGGTGGGTGTGGGGGAGGAGATAGGCTCTGGAAATGAGGGGTTAACCCTGTGGACTGGATTCAGGAAGGGGCCCCCTGGCCCTGGCCTTCTGTCTCCCGTAATTTAGGCCCTCAAGTCTATACCTAGGGCCTCAAGTCTATACCCTGGGGACTCGCCCAGCTACTAGGACCTGTCAGGAGCACCCCTCTGTCCCCCCCACCCCACGTTCTCCAATCAGCCTTAGGAAAGAGGTCCTTCCTAAGGATCTGCCACACGTCCCCAGGACCCCAGTGGAGGGATGAGGGCAGAGCAAGAATCTGGCCACTGCTGGGGAACATTCACTCAACAGAGCAGGAACCCACCCAGCCATCTGCATGGAAGGAAATGAAATCATATCTAGGGCAGCAGAGTCCCCGACCACAGCACCTTCCTCCTAGAGCTTCTGGCTGTGCTGCTGGCCAGGATACCTCCTACCTCTGTGAGGAAGCCCCAGCCTCGTCCAGGTCAGGAGTAAGGGGCCTGAGGAAAGGCCTGCCACCTGGGTTCTGCAGCCACACTCTTCTTATCTTGTGGCTCCTGTGACTGGAGCTCTCACGGAAACCTCCAGGGCTGAGTTCTCTTCCTTGGCAACAGGCCCCACCCCATTCCAGCCTGGGGCCCTCAACCTAGGTGCCTCCTCCAGGAAGGACCCCCAACCACACAAGCACACAAGCATACAATCACACATGCATAAGGGATGTGCCTGCTCACAGAAGCCCCACCACCTGAGAGCTTCAGGGACTGTGGCCAAACCCCTTGGTCCTCAGAGACCTTTGCCTCCTCCTGCCCCTCAGGTTCTCGAGACTCTGCTCTGAACCTTGGCACCCACTGGAGCTGCTCCATCTTTGGAGTCTCCCCTACGTGGCAGGGCTGATCAGTGCATGGGTAGTGTGACCTAAACCTGACGGCTAGAGATGCAAGAAGGCCTCCTAAAAAGAAAATAAGCCAGCTCTTCCAAAGGGACTGGAGGTTCCAAGCTACCCAGGAGGGGAAGTGATCCTAGCTTTGATGTATTTTAGGGACTGCACATTTGATGTTGCCCAGTGTCTGCTGTCCAGGAGGAAGGCAGATTGATGACCAAGTGCTCGAGGTGGGTTAATTCTCACGTCTACTGCTGCCAGAGGGGACCTTTTATTGTTTGTTTGTTTTGAGACAGAGTCTCACTTTGTTGCCCAGGCTAGAGTGTAGTGGCACAATCTTGGCTCACTGCAATCTCTGCCTCCTGGGTTCAAGTGGTTCTTGTGCTTTAACCTCCTGGTAGCTGGGACTACAGACATGTGCCACCAAGCCTGGCTAAATTTTGTATGTTTCGTAGAGATGGGGTTTTGCCATGTTGCCCAGGCTGGTCTCAAACTCCTGGTCTCAAGCAATCTGTCTGCCTCAGCCTCCCAAAATGCTGGGATTACTGGGGTGAACTATCATACCCGGGCTTTTTTTTTTTTTTTTTTAAGACGGAGTCTCGCTCTGTCGCCCAGGCTGGAGTGCAATGGCCGGATCTCGGCTCACTGCAAGCTCCACCTCCCAGGTTTATGCCATTCTCCTGCCTCAGCCTCCCAAGTAGCTGGGACTACAGGCACCCGCCACCTCGCCCGGCTAGTTTTTTGTATTTTTTAGTAGAGATGGGGTTTCACCGTGTTAGCCAGGATGGTCTCGATCTCCTGACCTTGTGATCTGCCCGTCTTGGCCTCCCAAAGTGCTGAGATTACAGGCTTGAGCCACCGCGCCTGGCCTTTTTTTTTTTTTTAAAGGACAGTGTCTTGCTTTCTTGCCCAGGCTGGTCTCAAACTTCTGGCTTCAAGTGATCATCTCACCTTGGCCTCCCAAAGTTCTGGGAGTATAGGTGTGAGCCACTGGGAGTATAGGGAGGCCCACTGCAGGTGGTGAGTCCTCTTGGGCTCTGCTTCAGAGAATAGTAGGGTGTGTCACAGACCTGGGTGGTTTGGGGACCCCAACTCAGGCTTCCTTCCTTCTCTCCATCATCTACTGCTGGTCAGCAGCCCTCCACACCCACTGGAATAGTGAGAGGGGGGAGAAGCTCTTGGATTTGCTGGTCTCCAGGTCACTGTAGTTGCAGTGAGCACTGTGATGATATCATAGCATTACAGCCTGGGTGGCAGGGCAAGACTCTGTCTATAAAAAAATAGATGATTTTTTTTTTTTTTCTAAGACAGGAGAGTTTCATTCTTGTTGCCCAGGCTGGAGTGCAATGGTGCGATCTTGGCTTACTGCAATCTCTGCCTCCCAGGTTCAAGTGATTCTCCTGCCTCAGCCTCCTGAGTAGCTGAGACTACAGGCGAGTGCCACCATGCCCAGCTAATTATTGTATTTTTAGTAGAGATGGGGTTTCGCGTTGTTGGCCAGGCTGGTCTCAAACTCCAGACCTCAGGTGATCTGCCTGCCTCGACCTCCCAAAGTGCTGGGATTACAGACATGAGCCACTCCCCACCCTTGGCCAAATTTTTAATTTTAATTTTAATTAATTAATTTATTTATTTATTTATTTATTGAGACAAGTCTTACTCTATTTCCCAGGCTGGAGTGCAGTGGTGCGATCTTGGCTCACTGCAAGCTCCGCCTCCCAGGTTCATACCATTCTCCTGCCTCAGCCTCCCGAGTAGCTGGGACTACAGGCGCCCGCCACCTCGCCCGGCTAGTTTTTTGTATTTTTTAGTAGAGATGGGGTTTCACCGTGTTAGCCAGGATGGTCTCGATCTCCTGACCTCGTGATCCACCCGCTTCGGCCTCCCAAAGTGCTAGGATTACAAGCATGAGCCACTGCGCTGCACCGAATTTTTTTTTTTTTTTTGAGATGGAGTCTCACTCTGTTGCCCAGGCTGGAGTGCAGTGGCCGGATCTCGGCTCACTGCAAGCTCCGCCTCCCAGGTTTATGCCATTCTCCTGCCTCAGCCTCCCGAGTAGCTGAGACTACAGGCACCCACCACCTCGCCCAGCTAGTTTTTTTTTTTTTTTTTTGTATTTTTTTAGTAGAGACGGGGTTTCACTGTGTTAGCCAGGATGGTCTCGATCTCCTGACCTCGTGATCCGCCCGTCTCGGCCTCCCAAAGTGCTGGAATTACAGGCTTGAACCACCGTGCCCAGCCCAAATTTTTTTAAATGAAAGAAATAGATAGGTTTCTCTATAGGGAATGGGCTGGAGGTCAGGAGATCAGGAGAGGGGACAAGGAATGAAGGGGCCTGTGCGGGGGAGAAGCAGTGGGAACAGGAAAGACACATACCTGGGAGATGTTTGGAGGTTGAACCCACAGGATTTGGAGATGCTTTGAAGCAGGGTTGGTGGGAGACAGTAAGGAGGTATCAGCGGTGACACTTAGGGTTGGCTCTGGAGTCAGGCCCTGAGTTTGCCTGCCTCTGCCTCGTTTCCATTCTGCCCACTGCCAGTATCTAGCTAACTTAGATTATAGCCTCTGACCCCAAATTATTCCTATTCTCAGGTCTGTGTCACTGATATTGGCAGATCCTAAGACAAGACTTCACTAGTGTGTGCTATTTCCCCTGCAAGGGGGAGAGCACAGAGATGGCTTTGGGTGAGGTTATGGGGAGGATAGACCACCTTGTTGGCTAACACTTGTTTACCTCTGGGGCATGAGTGTTCATGTGAGCCACCATGGCTGGCCTATTCCTCTTTTAACAAAATCTGGTAGGACATGGTGGCTCATGCCTTTAATCCCAGTAATTTGGGAGTCGAGGTAAGAGGATCTCTTGAAGCCAGAGGTTTGAGACCAGTCTAGGCGACATAGTGAGAACTCTCTCTAAGAAAAAAAAAAGGTAGTGCATGCCTGTGGTCCCAGGTACTTAGGAGGCTGAGGTGGGAGGTTCGCCTGAGCCCAGGAGTTTAGGGTTGCAGTGAGTTATGATTGCACCACTGCTCCCTAGCCTGGGCAACAGAGTGAGACCTCATCTCTAACAAAACAAAAACAAAAGCCAATGCATCCTCCTGCCTAAAGCTCTTCTGTGGCTTCTAATTGCAGAAATCTACCAAATTTCTTTCTTTGGCTTTCAACTACTGGAGAGTCTGCTCCCACCAGCCTCTCCAGTCTCAGCAAATAGAACTAATCTTCCTGTCCTCCAAAATCTGGCCACATCAGTGATGCTACGTCCCACCACAGGGCCTTGGTGCAACCTCAGCCTCCAACTGGTAGGGCTGTTGAGGCAAGGCCAGGATAGGAAATCTTACTACAAGGAAGGAGTAGGTGGGTGAGCAGCTTTTCCCTCTACTTCCTCTTCTATGCAGTGTTTCAATAGATCAAGACCTGCAGAGGAGGCAGCGGTAGGAACAGTTTGCTCCAAGGACCAAACTTATTCTGGTGTGCAGCTCACCCGCCCCTACTCATCTCCAGTGTATTTCAAGAGTATGCAGAGAAGGAAAAGGTCAGGCTGAGTTAGAGGTGCACAGGCTGCCTCCCATGCTCAGAGTGCAGGGGTGGGGTGCAGGTGGGGCTTACTCAGTATCCAGCAGTGCCCAGATGATGATCATCTGCATCCAAGCCCCCTGGTCCTGGAGACTCATGCTTCCCTTTGATGTTGCCCTGGATCTGCTCCCATGATGCCTGATACAGACAATTCCCAAGAAACAAAAGTCTTCCAAGCCAAAAAACAGCCTGGCCACTGTAGACAAACATCCTCCAATCACCAAGCTGAAGCCACCCTTCCCGAAATGGCAAATAGCTAACATAACATTTTTCTTCCTCAAAAGGCAGTCAATGTTTATCTTTCTAGGAGAAGTGCAATAACCCCAAATGCATCTTTTATCTCCTGAATCTCCTGAATGCATCTCGAACCTTCTCCTCAACCCCTACCAACCCCTACCCTGCCAGCCTCTCTGTCCAACATTCCTGGGGTGCTTTTTTTTTTTTTTTGGAGACAGAGTTTTGTTCTTGTTGTTCTTGTTGCCCAGGCTGGAGTGCAGTGGCACGATCTCGGCTCACTGCAACCTCCACCTCCCAGGTTCAGGCGATTCTCCTGCCTCAGCCTAGCAAGTAGCTGGGATTACAGGCATGCACCACCATGCCTGGCTAATTTTTATATATATATATTTTTAGTAGAGACGAGATTTTGCCATGTTGATCAGGCTGGATGGTCTGGAACTCCTGACCTCAAGTGACCCACCAGCCTCGGCCTCCAAAAGTGCTGGGATTACAGGCATGAGACACTGCACCCAGCCTTTTTTTTTTTTTCTTTTTTTTTTGAGACAGGGTCTTGCTCTGTTGCCCAGGCTGGAGTGCAGTGGTGCCATCTTGGCTCACTACAACCTCTGCCTCCCAGGTTCAAGCAATCCTCCCACCCCAACCTCCCTAGTAGCTGGAGCTACAGGCATGCACCACCATACCCAGCTAATTTTTGTATATTTAGTAGAGACGGAATTTCACCACATTGGCCGTGAACTCCTGGCCTCAGATGATCCACCCGCCTTGGACTCCCAAAGTGCTGGGATTACAGGACTGAGCCACCGCGCCTGGTCCTAGGTTGCTTTTTGATGGAGATGATTGATGACTTCGGTCCCATGTGCGCCATTGAGTTCCTCTTGCAGCTGGGCTCTGCCTGATTTCAGGCAGTACCGAGGATCTGGGACACAAGGTTGCATGCTATCCCATGTCCTTGAGGTAGTGCCATCAGCCGAGGGTGGGGAGGGGACTGGAGGGCCTTGGGGTGCAAGAGCTGGATCCAGCAAGGCCTTCAAAAGTATCTCAGAGAAATTAGCTGGGCACGGTGTCAGGCGCCTGTAGTCCCAGCTACTTGGGAGGCTGAGGCAGGAGAATGGTGTGAACCTGGGAGGCAGAGCTTGCAGTGAGCCGAGATTGTGCCACTAGACTCCAGCCTGGGTGACAGAGCAAGACTCCATCTCAAAAAAAAACAAACCCTCAGGGGACAGGAGGTGGTGGCTCATGCCTGTAATCCTAGCACTTTGGGAGGCCAAGGCATGAGGATTGCTTGAGGCCAGGAGTTCAAGACCAGCCTGGGAAACATAGTGAGACCCCTTCTCTAAAAATTGTTTAAAAAGTAGCTGGGCATGGTGGCACATGCCTGTAGTCCCAGCTACTTGGGAGGCTGAGGTGGGAGAATTGCTT